ATCTTAAAACAATTATTGTAGAATCTCTATAATTAATAATGTTTAAAAAAAGAAGAAAACCTTTCTTTAAAGACAATATTAAATCAGGAACACACATGCTCAGATCTGCCACTAAGACTGGTTGAATTTGTACAAATTTCTATTAAAAAAAAGGAATTAATAACATTTTCTCAAATGATATATATATAGTCTTTCTATAAAATGGAAACCTTATGTTTTATCTTTCTGTTAATAGAGGGTTTTTAATTAAGAGTAAGTTGGCTTTAAGATGAGTTGCCACTAATACATAAACTTCCTAATGGCAGGCATTTTTGCCTCTTTTTGTTTACTATTCTATCTGCAGAGCCTAAAACAGTGCCTGCACAGAGTAGGCACTCTAAATAATTGTTGAATGGATGATTTATGAAAAAGCTCACTAACATGATGTTTGAATCAGATAGTTATTATTCATTATTTTATAACTGGTTATGATGTGTGATGTTAGGCTGCTGCCCAGTTGACTATACAGATATCACCAAAGAAGCACATTAATAAGACATATTCCTTGGCCACTGTAGTATTCTGATTCAGCAGGTTCAGGATAGGGCCAGACGAAAAGGTTTATATTAGATATAGCAAGGTTTAAGACCTCTGAAAAATCTATCCCTATATTTGTAAAATGTTTTGAAACCAAAAAAATTACTTTTTCACAGTAATACTTCATAACCTATTAATACAGTATAGGATGGAACCTCTGTGCAATTCTGGTATTGTTGGACTAGACCAATATCTCTATTATAGATCAGTAGTTCTCTACTAGGGGAAGTTTTGACCCTTAGAAGACATTTTTGGGGGATTGTTATAAGTGGAGGGAGGAGAGGCACTGTATCTTATAGATAGAGACCAGGGATGCTGCTAAGTATCCTACAATGTAGAGAACAACTTCCGTGAAAAAGAACTATCTGGTCCAAAATGACAGTAACACCAAGGTTGAGATAACTGTTATTTGAAATAACTGTTATTTATATAAAGATTTGCTGTTATGTGAAGGTTGTATTTCAGACACACAGTTCGATTTGTTATTTCCAAATGCCCATAAGAATAGGCTGGTAGCAACAAGCTTCTTCTGTATGGCACACAAGGTTGGTTGGTTGGTTGGTTTTAATCCACTTGAAAAGCCTTTGGAATTGGAGCTCTTTACTATAGCAATATGTCTTCTGTAACCTTTCCATCGCCTGGCTAAAACATTGATTAAATTACGATCATTATGAATGTTGAGGATTATTTAAACTTTGAAGGTCTTGAATTCAGCCTGCCTTACTACAGGTATCTAATAAAAGTTGAAGAATATGAAAAAGCATTTAGGAACATAATCTCTATAGCAATTTTGTAAAAAAAAAAAAATCAATGTGAGAATCTTTTTTTTTTTTTTTTTAGCTCAGATTCAGTGACTTTTCCAAAGACATCATGGAAAATTACAATTTGGTGTTTACGAAGTCACATTTTAAATCTCTTCTTTCTATATCATTATGCTAAGATGGGTTATGGAAGTTTTCCCAGTCCCATTGTCATATATTGTTAACTCATATGTATTTGTTTTTATAGATATAGGAATTTTCCTGTGGTGGAAGCAAGTTGGTCAATGCTGCATAATGAAAGGCCCTACTTATGTAATTTCTTAGGAACCGTTTATGAAAATTCATCTAGACAAGAACTAATGAACATTTTGAAACAAGAGGGGATTGATAAGCTTTGTTTGGTTTCAGTAAGAGAACAGTAAGTTCTATATTTACTTGATTCATTCATTTTATTCTCCATTCCGAGAGTCGCTTTATGTAGCAGCACAGGTTTCCAAAGAGACATTGTTAACTCCAGTTATACCAGTCTTTCCCCAGAAGATAGGTTGATAATTAAAGCTGTGGACAACTTGGGTTGTATACATTTAAAACAGGGAGATGCTCCAAAAGCTATAATCCATCTTGAAGGAAAACACTATTAACTGTCATATACAAATGTCAATTGCTCAGATTCCCACAGTAATATTTGTTAGTCAGACTTGAAACACAGGAGGTTGTAAATATGTCAGTATTTACAACCTTAGGCTCACCTCTGAGATGTTCTATAGATCAGTTCAGTGTTCCAAGGCTAGCATGGCGTACCCCTCATACCTTCAGGAACCTGACATCACCATGAGTAGTCATGTGTTGTTCTTTGAATTCCCAGATCTAACATAGGACCTTGCATACAGTAGGCAAGGATAAATGGATAGCGGATGGATGGACAGACAGATGGACGGATGGATGGATGGATTTAATAGGGTGACTTTCTTTCATTTTTTAACATGGTAATCATGAAACAAGTGTTTGTGGAATGAAAGAAAATTTTAGAACCACTCATTTTGTTTTTAAATAGTGTTTTGTGTGTATGAAGCAGAATCAACAGAACAAATGCCTAAAAAATGTCCTTCTAGATCTAGAGGTGTATTCATTGTAGCAGATACTCTCTTCTAGAAAGCTTAACTCCCAACTCTATTATTTCTATAACTATATTATATCTATTTGGTCAACAAATATTTATCAAGTAACTTTGCCAAAAAATGTTTTAGCCACGAGGGATATAGCAGTGAACAAAGTAGTCATAAGTCCATGCTCTCTTAGAACTGAAATGGCTTATTGGAGGAGACAAATCAGTAAAATATATTGTGTCAGAAGACATTAAATGCCATGTGAAAAAAATGAGCAGAGGAGTGATGTAAAGGGGACTAGAGTTCAGGAGTGGGGCATTTTGCTGTTTTAGAATGGCCAAGAAAAGCACTAGTAACAATCTTACCTCCAAGCGCAGGCCTGAAGAAGATGCAGGCGCGAGCTCGTGTCTATCTGGGACAAGAGTAGCCCAGGTGCAGGGAAGGGCAAATGCAAAGCGCCTAAGGCAGAAGTGTGCTTACCGTGGCTGAAGAACAACAAGGGGCAGTGTGCCCGGGCCGAAATGGGTGAGGGCAGTGTAAAATTACAGTTTATTGTGGGAATAGAATTATTCTTGTAATTCTAACCATACCATTGGACCAGGAAGTCGAGTGTCATCCTTGCTTCTCATTGCTGCTTCCAGACCATTCTCCCTCTTCGCTCCATAAAACCTCCAATATTGAATCTTACTATACTAGCAGACAAAACCATCCATTACTCTTCCTCTTCGAAGTTGTATTTCGACCCTTGGGTTTATCTCCTAAACTCTTTGAAGAGTTTCATTCCTTGCACACTCTCACATTCTGACATTACTCTGGTCTCATTTTCGGTGTTTTCCAACTCTACATAGATGGTCCTTCCATCACCTTGGTCTAATAGTTCCTTTACTTCCTCTCCTCCAGTGATCTGATCTTCACTTGACCTTAACTATTCACTATCATGGTTATTTCCTAAACCTTATTAGTACACATACTGCTTCTCCATGATCTCAAGTTCCAGCTTTTCCCTCTGTAACCACCACTTGCTGTCATTCCAGCTCATTCCCTGTAGTAATCTCGCACAATTTAGCTGGGACTTAGAACCCATTGGTCCTACTACTTCTTCACTGTTCTTGCTTACCTCATATCTTTACTTTCTCTTTACCCTATTTAAATTTCATAGTCATGACTGGAGATACATTCAGCTCCCTATTTTCCTAATCTAGGAAATCCTGATCCTGGTTAAATCCAGCTTTCTTACCTGCATGCAACCAAACACACTTGGAGAAAGGTGCCAGTCAATCTCATTTTAAATATATGACCTTGACTCTCAAGTGCCCAACATTTCCCTTGTCCATGTGTTCTTCTGCTTTCCTAGAAGTCTGTATTATACCTTCTCTCTTTTGAACTGCTCTTACCTTATGGCCCTATATTGCTTATCTCACTGAGAACATAATAGTCAGGAGAGAACATCTAGCTTGCTTCTACCCTTGCCCCTGTACAGTCTGGCTCTTAATACAACAGCCAGATTGATTCCGATAAAACGTAGGTCAGGGCAGTCACCCCTCTGATCCAAACCCTGCATGACAGGATGCTCTGACCTCATCTTCTACACCTCTCCCCCCCCAGTCATTCTGCTTCAGCCACCCTCACTCCCTTGCTCTTCTTTGAATGTGCTAGGCCCGTGCTGTCTCATGGCCTTTATGCATTCTCTGTACTCTGTTCTCCAAAAGTGAGAAATTTGCATGGTTCGCTCCCTCACCTCCAGCTCCATGCTCAGATACCCACCCCTGCAATGAGACATTCCCTGATCACCTATTTAAAATTGCAAGACTACCCCTTAGAAACTCCCTCCTCACTTGTCTGCTTTATTTTTCCTCACAGCACCTTCTAAATAATTTAATGACTTGATTACTACCTGTCTCCACCACTAGAACTAGAGTATAAGCTCCAGGAGGGCAGGAATTTGGAGGGCGAGGTAGAGAGAGAAGACCTGACACTCAGAAAATATTGGCTGAATTAACATTCATTCAGAAATTTTATGGTGACCGCTGAGTTTTAAAAAATATGTAGCTGTAAAATTTTCAGATTCTTAAATAGTTTCAAGAAATCTATTGGGGCAAGATTTTATTTATCTTTTCTGCCTCTCATCTCTATAATGGGTTTACCATTGCCTGTAACTGACATTAAAAAGTAAAATCTTACCTTTCACAAAAGATATGCTTAGTAAAGTGAAAACTACAGCTGTTTTTCCAATTTTCTAGATGGCAGCCTCAGGAAACAAATGAAAGCCTTAAGAATTATCAAGAAGCTTTGCTTCACAGTGACCTCACATTGTGCCCAGTAGGAGTAAACACGGAATGTTACAGAATATATGAGGCTTGCTCCTATGGCTCCATTCCTGTGGTCGAAGATGTAATGACAGCTGGCAGCTGTGGAAATACGTCCATTTACCATAGTGCTCCTCTGCAGTTGCTCAAGTCCATGGACGCTCCCTTTATTTTTATTAAGAACTGGAAGGAACTTCCTGCTGTTCTAGAAAAAGAGAAAACTATAATTTTACAAGAAAAGATTCAAAGAAGAAAAATGTTACTTCACTGGTATCAACACTTCAAAATAGAGCTGAAAATGAGATTTACGAATATTTTAAAAAGTTCATTTTTTAATGAACAGTAAAGGTTAACTATTATCTTTTTGAGCTAAGATTTGGTTTTTTAAATCATTTCTAACACTGGGGTTTGTGTGTGTGTGTGTATTTGTGTTATTCTGTATTTATAAATGTTCTTTAAGGTACCCTTGTACACCCTAAATTATGTATGTCATGTTGACCAAGTGCTCCCTTGCTGGGCCGCTCCTGAATATGAAGCTAAAATGTTACTCAACTCACTTTTACCAAGTCAAATGATTCAACTTTTATCAACTCTTCTCACCCATTAAACCCACTTTAGGGAGGCAGCATTGTGTAGTGGAAAGACTGAGCTTTGGAGTCAGACAAAACCTAAACTTTGCCTCTGTACCTACTATCTGGGGACCTTGAGGAAGCAAGTCACTTAATTGCTCTGATTCTTGGTTTCTTTCTATGTAAAATGGAGATGATGGTACGTCACAGGGTAAGTTATAGATATGAAATGAAATAATATATAAAGTAGACAATATATATAGTAAACTCTAAATAAATAGTAATTTCTAACTCGTTTTTCATTTTTTACTAGTTAATAGGGTTGAATTTAAATATTTTAACATGCTCATTTACATAATTTGGGAGTAATTACATGCCATGTTGGGAATATGTGTGAACAAATCTTGTAGAGTTAGACTTTTAGATGACTCAAGTTTTGTTGGATCATGTTGAGGTGAGTGCCTGATGCAGAATTTGGTTGTAATCTGTACAAAACATGGACTGGGTTCAGTCAGAGCCAGAAAATCAGTGCTTAAACTCAATAGAAGTGGTCACTGAAGGATGAAGTAAGACTAGCCAACTCAAAAGAGCACTTCACGCAAAGGCTGCCAGGTGCCCCTGGAGAGCAGTGTCTTTGATTAGGGCTGAGTGGTCTGTCTTCAAGTCCCTGGGGTCTTGAGAGGACGCACGGGAACTTGTGCTCAACCTATGACTTAACTTCTGTGATACCAGGGGATAAATATTGCTGTTAATGATGCTCTTTTGTCTCCAGGAGCTTTTTGTCTCCTCATTAAATGATTGGCCATAGGTATTCAACAGGTGTAAATTCTCCCATACTTTCTTGGACCTGGAGCTCGCACAGGGCTCCACAACATCAGAAGATATGGCAGCCTGGATGTAAAGAACCTTACCTTTGCATTGTATTGAAGACTCATGGCGCCTGCCACAACCTTATTTAATTCTAAGGAAACTGCTCTTGCTAAAGACACCATACTGAGGAAGCCATTTTATCCCATGTGTCTCCTCTCTTTTGTCTCCCACTTCAGGTGACAACTACGGACACTTTATTCAAGGATACCCTGTTGAAAGGCTTCCTGACAACTTTGAACATTGGTACCAAAAAACAATAACTGAGGCAAACAGCTAGTTCAAGGCCTTTGTGAACGAGAAAGTACTGAGAACCTGGGAGTTGACTGCACGAGCAGAAACTGAAAGTATGCAATGGAATGGGTGCCATGAGCTAGAGTTGGGGCCATGAGAGAAGCAAAGATGCTAAGAAAAACATCTGCCCAGAGCTGTTGCCATGGTTCCTGATGGGTTTCCAGTTCCAATTCCCACGAATATTGAGATTGCTTTTTTATTTTCCCATTGTGTATCTGCAGAATTGTCTTCTTTCTTCAACCTTCATTGCCCCTGGTTACTTGAACTCACTTCCAAACCAAAAGAGCCTTCCCAAGACAATGACCATATGCTTCAACCTTCAGAGTCCCCGTTTTGTTTTTTCCTCGAACAGGAGTGCTGCCAAGACCAAGGTGGTATCACAATACTCTTTTGACTGGGTTAAAGAAGTCTCTGTAGTATATTTTACCAACAAGACTGGGCTGCCGTAAAAATAAATAAATGAATGAATGAATGAATGAATAATAAAAAATAAATAAATAAATAAATAAGTAAGTAAGTAAATAAGCATTGAATGGGTGGCTTAAACCTCAGAAATTTATTTCTCGCGGTTCTGGAGGCTGGAGGTCCAAGACCAGATTGCCAATATAGTCGGAGTCCATGAAAGCCCTCTTCTTGCCTGCTCGCGGCCACCATATCACATGGCAGAGAGCGTTCTCCAGTCTCTTTTTTTATAAGGATGTTAATCCCATCATAGGGACACCACCCTCATGGCTTCACTTAAACCTAATTACCTCCCAAAGGCCTCACCTCCAGATATCATCGTATTGAGGGTTAGGGCTTCAACATAGGAATTTGCGTGGACACAAACATCTAGTCTATAGCAAAGGGGCAATTACTGACATACACTGTGATAAGTTGTGGCCTAGATCTTAAAGCTTTCTGGCCAGAACTGGCATCCTGTCACCGTTCCCATGTTCCATTGGTCAGAGGAGTCAAAGGGCCAAGCCTGACATCAAAGAGGGTGAAATGTATATTCTATCTTCTGAAAGAGAAAAATATTTGAAAGAAGAGCGCAATTTACCGCACTCTATTTGGCTAAAACCTGAACTCTTGGATATGTGATGTTGGACTCCCAGTTCTCTCCTGAGCACATTAGAGGATTGAACTCACTGCCCCCATTTGAAGGTAGGTAAAGCTATGTGGTTTACTTTGTTCAATAGAGTATAGTAGAAGTGATGTTCACTTCCAGGCAGAAGCTTAAGAGACGATGTACAATTGACCTCATTTCTTCTACCTCATTGGTTCTAAAAGGCTTTGTCAAGATGAACCTTAGCTTGTGTCCCTGAGTGAGCAGAAACCCTCTTATGACCACATCGAACATGGAGAACAAAATAGATAAACTTTTATGTTAAGCCACTGCTATTTGAGAGTTGTTTCTTGTGGCAGCATAACCTTGCCCATCCTGACTAGTACATTTGACTTTTAAGGATGGTTCCCCTTATAGTCTGGCATTTGCATTTCTAGGAAACAAAAGATAATCACTCTTCCCTCATAGGTTAGACTAGTGGTTCTAAAACTAGTGGGTGGAAGTCTAACAAGAAACAGTAGATTTAGATGGGTGGGGGGGGCAGGTGAAAATGGTGAAGGGGATTAAGAGTATAAACTGGGGATGTAATGTACAGTATATGGAATATAGTCAATAATATTGTAATACGATGACAGATGGTTACTAATGGTGATCACTTCATAAGGTATATAAATGTCTGATCATAAGTAATTATTTTAAAACAAGATTTACATAGTCTCAAAGTATCTCTTCACAAAATACTTATCGATTACGTGCATTTTCAAATAACCAAAAAAAATTAAAACCAACATGGCTTGACTTCATGAGTAACAAAAGTAATAGAGAAACCTTCTGAATATTATGTGTGACTATCATCTCCACATTTGTTTCCCCAATATTCTTTTCATTTGAAGGGGAGCAGTTTGCCACACCAAATATGCCTCTCTGGGGACATTATTTCGGGCTGGTTAATTTTCAGAACGGCACGTGAGAGAAGCTCTGCAAACCAAGTAGAAGTTACTTTTTGTTAAGGACATTTACGTCTGTAAGGGAACTCTCCATGGCAAGGTATTTCCCTCTGCACCAGGCCTGCCTTCACTGTCAGTGGAGGAGGCACAGACTTAAATCTTTATAAAACTCTTACCCTAGTTTACTGTGCTTTTCCTGGTAACCTATAACCTCCCCACCCCCAACATCTTTCATCTTCAGCTGAAGGTGGTGTTTAAGGTGATGGCGTCCGCCATTTGGGCGAGTTGCTTAGAATTCCTGGGTCTTTCCCATGTATACAAGAAGTATACATGGTACTAAACTTCAGTTTGTTTTTCTTCTGCTAATCTGTCACATGTTGATTTTATTATTAGTCCAGCCAGAAGACCTTGAAGGGTGGGGATAATTTTTCCTCCCCAACACATTGTAGTGAAATTGACTTAAGTAGTTACAAAAGATTTTTTTATTTTAAAAAGGGGCGGGGTTGCAGGGGGAGAAAGGAGGAAAAGTAGGAGGGAGAAATGGAAAGTAAAGGAAAAATATGGGCTGATAATAAAATTTGTGTTTTTTGCTGAGTCAACTTCAGTTTTGAGGGGGAGGAAATTACATCAGAGAACTAAATAAATATCAGGATTGTAGACAAAAACAGGGTTCTATGGAAAGTAACCTCACAGAAAAATCTGATGTAAATTCCTAACTGGGCAGGCCTGGTGTGTAGTCCTGCCCCAGGCATATAACTTCTTTAGTAAAGGCTTATCTTTGCCTTAAGCAAGCTCCGTCCATTGTTTCTGTGCGTCTAGGTTAACACACCTTTGAAACGCTTCTTTTCAGACCCCTGAGAAACTAAAGCACCTCAAGAGAGCAGCATAATCCTGTTACTAGCCTATCATTTAATCTCCACTTTGCTTTCTCTCACCTTCATGTAATCTTCCTTACACTCCCTCCTTACTTCCAAATGCACAAAAGAAGCTGCAAACTGTCATTTTAAGCAGCGTTTTTCTCATTCTAGTGAGATTTTGCTTCCAGGTGTATCTTGTTTGGCTCAAATAAATGCTTATAAAAATTTTCTATGGGTTTTGAGTTTCTTACATTGATAGGATTAAAAGGTAGGAGATAGATGGAATATGAGGAAAAGACATCAACAAGGGTAAATTTTCTATTGATAACATTTTAAAATACTTTATCGAGGGCATTTCCATGTTACACAGAAGGAAAGAGAAGGAAAACAAGCCATATTGTCATCTACTTACCTATATCGATCTGCTTGTGACAGATTATATCATAGATAGTAGATTGGTAGATAGAACACATCATTTTGAGTTTTTACATATTATATATGTTTTTATAAATTTAAGTTACAAAGGAGAAATACAGAAACAAATTTTAATTGTAATATGGAATGGAAGGTGGATGACCTTCAAGGTGCAATTTTAGGCTTTGTTCAGGAGAGGGAGCTGTGAAACTACAAATAGCATCACAGTATTTTGGGTTTTGGTTTCTATTACTTCTCAACTAAGGAAGCCAGGAAAGTAAGGAACTGGGGGAAGGAAGGCTGTTGACATTTAGACAGATTAAGTCTTTGGAGTGAGCGATTGTCTCCCACACTGCAACTTTAAAACTACGGAACTGAACACCCAGCCACCACTGCCCAGGCATGATTTTCTGTCAAGTCCCTTTCAAAGACAAGATCCGTTGTTAGAAGTTTTTCATTCTTAAATGAATTGGTTGGAAGACAGAATGTGTTCACTTTTAATCAAAGACGGGTTTGTGTTATCGAAGTTTGATTACACAATCATAAACATAAAAAGTAGGAAATTTTTCTCAAAAGTACTGTTCAAGTTTCTCAGAACTTCAGTAGTTTTTAAATTCTTAATGTGAAAACACAAATGTGAGTACTTATATTTTATTAAATGTAATACATTCATTAGTTCCTCATGTAAATTTCACTTAAAGTTATTGAAGTTGAATAAGTCCTACTTAAATAACCATCAGGGCCTATGAGGATCCAATTACATGTTCACATGTGCATATCCTGTACATGTGGGGTCTGTCTCCAGCATTGTTTCACATTACCCAGACAATTTAAAGAAGGAGAAAGACAAACAGCCAATAAACACATGTACACACATTCATCCCGGCTAATAATCAGAGAAATGCAAATTAAAATTAAAAGATACCGTTTTTGCCAAAATTTTGGCAAAAATTTTAAAGTCAAATTTGGGCACCTTCACGTACTGCTGGAGGGGTTGAAATTTGGTACAACCACATTAGAGAGCAATTTAGCACATCTAATAAAGTTAATGATGCATGCACCCTGCAATCCGGCAATTCCATTTAAGTTGAAAACCTGGCTCAGCATGTTACATTCATTATTCCACAGGGTTATCAACCACTGCCCTATGAGAAACTCTTGCACATGTACATAAGAAAACAAATCCAAAAATATTCATAGCATCATATAGAAAAAAAAAATTGGAAATGACATAAATGTCCATCAACAAAAATTAAACGTGGTATAATCATTCAATAGAAAATTAATAAAACTACAAACTACAGGTACGTGCAGCAATATGACTAAATCTCCCAAATATAATTTTGAGAAGTAACTGGAAAAGAACACATACAATGGAATTCTACATCACTGTTAAAGTAAATGAATAAAACCTACATATAAATCTTGTGTTTATAAATCTATGGCTTCTATTTTAAAAATTACCAAAAACTTATGTGTTAAAACAACACGGATTTATTATTTTACATTTCCAGAAATCAGAACTCCAAAATGGAGGGCACTAGGCTAAAATCAAGGTGTCAGGGCTGTGTTCCTTTCTGAAGGCTACACAAGAGAGTCTGTTTAGTTGTCTTTTCTGGCTTCTAGAGGCCACCAGCCTTCTCTGGCTCATGGCATCCTTCTTCCATCATCAAAGCCAGCAACATCATCCCAAGTCTTTCTCATGCTTCTCTGTCCCTGTTTCTCCCCCTTCTACTTCTCTAATTTATAAGGACCCTTGTGCATTGGGCCCACCCAGATAATCCAGCATAATCATCTCCCTCCTTTAACGGTCAGTTAATTAGTAACCTCAATTTCATCTGCAACCTTGATTCCCCTTTGCCATGGAAGGTAACATATTCAGAGGTTCCAGGGATTAATTAGGATGTGGACATTTGGGAGTGGGGCAACACTGGGGCAGAAGGGATTTTCCTGCCTACCACAAATATCAAAAACAAAATATGAATAAAAGCAAATTTAAAGAATGATATATATTATATGATTCCATCATATAAAATTTTAAAACAATAACTATATATCGCTTTAACACTATCTGTTGTTTTAAATGCTACTACATATTGCTTATGGGTACATATACATATATTCAAAGTATAAAACCATGCATGCGAATGATAAACACAAATTTCAGGATAAAAAATGCCCCAGGAAAAGAACAGATTGGCAGAGGAAGATACAGGGGCTTTAATTATACAGTAATGTTTACTTCTTTTGAAAAAA